TATCTCCCGCCACCCGGTAAGAAGAAAACACTTTCCACTTTCTAGATGAGAAGGGCCTAAGGCCGAAAAAATCCACGACATGTGACGCGGCGTCTGTACAATCGAAGACTACAATGAGGAGGTCTGCGAAAAGACGAGCTAAGATAAAGAAGCGAGCTGCCTCTGTTCTCATCCCCGTCAGAGGGACGACGACGATGACGAAGAGAGGCCGGTAGATTCGTAGAATAATACTAGACAATCAGATGAATGATATATTAACAGAATGAATGTCGAACGTTGTGAAGTATCGTGTGATCCTCATTCCATGCACCTGAAATCCGTAATATTTCAGGCTCGATAAATAATATTAGATGATACCGATGTACAATAATATGGTTTTCATAGTGAATTCCGCGATGAGCAGAATAATATAACACAAACAAGTCGATATGAAATATTGATACAATGAGAGTCGAAAGGTTTGATGGGACATATGTAAACATCATGCCTCGTACCAGAAATCCGTAATATTTCAAGCTCGATAAACAATATTTAATGATATTTATGTACAACAAAGTGGTGTGTTCATACTCGAGACGTGTAGAATGCCATAAGACAGTCATATCAGTATGATATATTGATAGAATGAATGAAGAAAATATTCAAATGTTATATATAAACAACATTCAACTTATACATCTTAATATTTCAGAATTGATAAATATCATTATATGATATAACATTATGCACACGTTGAATAAAATGTACACAGTGATCCTCGTGAAGCGTAGAATGATAAAGTTCCGTCAGGTCATAGTTGTGTACTGACAGAATAAATGTCGAACGTTTTTGAATGGTCACACGGAAACCTCACTCCACGTACCAGAACTCCGTAATGTTACAGGATTGTCAAAATGCATTACGTTTTTCATGTACACAGTGTAGTGTTCACTGTGAACGCAGCGAAAAATGTGAACATAGAATAATAAAATGCCACAAAATCGACATGATATATTGGAATAACGATTGCGGAAAATTTTGAACTGCTATATGTAAACCTCATTTCGTGTACAAGAACTCCGTAATATGTCAGGCTCAATAAATAATATAAAGTGATATTTACGTAGATAAAAATTGCGTTCATTGTGAATCCCGAGATGTGAAGAATAATATAAGGCCATGAAGTCGGTACGATATATAAACAGAAAGTATGTGAAAAATTTTGAACTGTCATATGAGGACCTCATTCCACATTCAGAAACACCGTAATATATCAAATTCGATAAATAATATTATATGATATTTACGTACTAACGAATGCGGTATATTGTGATATCCGCGAAGTGTAGAATTATATATGAGCATAAAACAGAAATGAAGAATGGAAAGAATGACTGTGAAATATTTTGAAGGGACATATTTAAACATCGTTACACGTATCGGAAATTCGTAATACTTTGGGCACGATAAATAACATTATATTTTATTTATTAACGCAAAAATGCTATTCATTGTGTTCCCCGCGATGCGTAGAACAATATTAGACCATAACACGGATATCTAACAAAATGGATCTTGAAAATTTTGAATCATTGTATGTAATCCTCATTCCACGTTCCGGTACTTCGTAATATTTGAGGCTACATGAGTTTAGGCATTATACATTTACAAAAATTGGTGTTCATTGTGAGTCCCTCAATGCATAGAATAATAGAAAATCATAAAATAGATATGATATATTGACAGAATAAATGTGGAAAATTTTAAGATATCATATGTGAACATAATTCCACGTTCCCGAACTCTGTAATATTTCAGGCTTTGTAAATAATGTTAGATGATATAAATTTACAAAAAAATTGCGTTTGTTGTGAACGTTGCGATATGTAGAATAATATAAGACTACCAGATAAAAATAATATATTAATACGTTGAATGTATGAGACTCTGAATTTCCTCATGTAAGCCTCTTTCGCCGTAGCGGAACTTATTAACACTTTTGGCTTGATAAATAATATTAAATGTCATTTGTATGCAAAAAAATTGTATTCATAGCTTTGCCTGCGTTGCGTAGAATAATGTAAGACAATAAAATCGATGTGACATGTTGACACAATGAATGTCGAAAAATTTGCATGGTCATACGTTGCCTCGTACTAAACCTAAGCACAGTAATAATTCCGTCTTAATAAATAATCAAATATCGTTCTTATAAATTACCAAGTTGTGGACTTATTGATTCCTTAGTGACGTAAATTAATATAAGTCTATCAGATTGAGATAATATGTTGACAGGATTAATGTGGAGATCTTTGGAGTGTCATACGTAAGCGCCGAACCGAATTGGAATTCCAAAATATTAGGGTGTCGATAAATAATATTAGATGGTCCTTATATAATTAAGAATTGTGCTCAGACTGAATGAATTTCCTAAACTTTGAATGGTTACACGCAAGCCCCGAAAAGTTACGGAGGACCATAATATTTGGGGTCAATAAATAATATTAGATCGTAGTTGTATATTTAAAAACTGTGTTCATTCTGATATCCGGGATGCGTAGAATGATATAGGGCTATTAAAATGACATAATATATTGACAGAATGAGTGTCGAAAATTTTGATTTGTCATGAATAGGCTCTGAACCATACCGGCGAACCGTAATATTTCGGGGTCGATAAATAGTATCAGACGGCATTATGTATATTAAAATTGTGTTCACTATGTACCCCACTATACGTAGAATAACAGAAGACAGTCAGAACTAGATAACATATTAACAGAATGAATATCTAAAATATTGAGCGTCATATATTAGCCCGAACCGTCCCGGAACAGCAAAATGTTTTAGAGTCCATGAATAATGCTGGATAGCCCCTATATACAAAAGAATTGTGTTCTTATTCCCGCGATGCGTAAAATAGTATAAGACTATCAGATCGAGATAATGTACTGATACGGTGAGTGTCGAGAGTTTTCAAAATGCGTACGTAAAAAACAATCCACTTGCCTGTAAAACATAATATTTCCGTGTCGATAATATTAGCTCATAGTTATAAGAAAAGAGTTCATAGTGATCCCCTCCATGAGTAGAGTAGTATGAGACAATGAAGTATATTTCATTAATTGACAGAATGAATGTAGGAAAATTTGAAAGGTCACATGTAAACCCCGAAACAAAATTGAGGACCCTAAAGCATTAGTGTCGTTAAATAACGCTATTTATATATTAAAAAATTGAATTCATAGCCATCCGAGCAATGTATAAAATAATTAAAGACCATCAGATATAGATAATATATTGACACGGTGTATCGAGTGTCGCGAATTTTCATGTCGCGTTTGTAAACCTTATTCCACCTATATATCATACGCATATAACGTAACAATTCAGAGATCGATAGATAAGGAAAGATCATCGTTATATACGAAAATATTGCATTGGTCAATCAAGGCGATTCCCGCTATGCGTAGCATAATATAAGGCAATCAGATCATTATAATATAATGTCAGACTGGATTTCGGAAATTTTGAATTGGCTCATGTATATCCCGGACCGTACCGTAATATTTCAGGAACGATAAGTAATATTACCCATTGTTCAATATTAAAAAGTTGTGTTCGTTGTGATCTCCGAGAAGCGTGGAATAATATAAGACAATC